AACTGCCTCACATGGCACCACCATAGTATGACCCAGTGCCCTAACTACATCACTGACACCTCTACAGTACAATCTGCTGCTTCTACCGTATCATCCAATACCACTACAAGGCCATCTAGCCCATCCCTAGTACAATCCAGTCCATCTTCCACGGGACCCAGTTCCTCCCATTATGGACCCAAGCTACATTGAGAGGTATAAAATACTAAAATTATCTATTTTTGCAGCGACATCCTCCTTTAAATAGGCAGAGTACTGGTTAGTTGAGACATAGAAGACCTTCACGACTCTTGGGGTGATTCCTGAGTAGAGAGCCATACTTGCCACCTACATGCTGGTGGGAGAGACAGGCTGTTGGTTGCAACTCAAGCAGGCTACCCTACCTGTTCCAGTCACTTGGGAATAATTTTTGATGGCTTTCAATGTAGAGTACCTCCCCAAGCATCTTCGACATCTAAAGGAAATATAGTTTGTACATCTGGTCTAGGGTGATATGACTGTATCTGAATATGCTCAAAAGTTCCTAGAGTTGGGCCAGTATTCTCCTGAGAGCATGTGGATGAAGGCAGAAAGGTGAGAAAATTCGAGTGGGATCTCTGTCCTGAGATTAGACAGCAGTTATATGTATTCAAGCTCAGTACTTACTCGACTATTTTGGTCAAGGTACAGTTAGTGGAGAGGAACCTTCGGACTTTTCCTCCAGCAATAAGGAACCTCAGGCCCTCGATTTCATACTGCAGACCAGCACCTTTTGCACCTGTTCAGCAGAGTAAGAGACCTAGGCCAATGACTTAGGATCCTCATCAGATTCTGACAATAGGATGTGGTAGGACTTGTCAATACTGTGACAAGGATCATGAGGACCGACCCTGTTATTGCCTCAACAGAACCAACATTACGTGAGGGAATGTCCGAGGAATTAGAACCAGGCCAGACCTGCAGGGCTTACAACCTCATTCAGCAAGATACATAAGCCAACCCATACGTGATATAGTGTACGTACACTATCTGTAATCTTCTTGCACATGTTTTGATTGATATTGGTGCATCACATTAATTTATTTTACATGCTTTTGCATCAAACTTGAATGTATTACTTGAAAGACTTGATTCTGTGTCGTTTGTGTCTACTATTGGGAGTAGGACACTACTGGAGGAGGTTATATACAGAGCATGTATCATATATATAGCAGATAAGAAATTGAGTGTGGACCTAATAGAGATTGACATGGGGGACGTTAATATAATCCTAGGAATGAACTGGCTAACGGTGTATCACGCCACCATAGATTGTTTTCATAAGAAACGTGTATTCAACCCTCCTAATGAAGAGTCATTTATAAATTAATAAAATTCTTTAAACATTATTTCCTCTTGACAATTTTTTCTATTATTAAGTGTTTTAACTCGACTGTTTTCTCCAACTAGGCAAACCTAAGAAAACAATTTATATTCGAGAGATTTTGGTAGTCTGAGATTTTTTGGATGTGTTCCCGGATGAACTAACTAGACTGCCAGTGGACAGAGAAGTTGAATTCACCATAAATCTTTAACCAGACACCCAACCTATTTTGGTTGTCCCTTACTACACGAGTCGTGTTGAGATGGAGGAATTGAGAAAACAGATCATGAATTATAGGATAATGGATTCATCCGACATAGTGTGTCCCCTTGGGGTGCTAGAGTCACATTTGCAAGGAAGGGGGATGAGACGTTAAGGTTATGTATTGACTACAGATGACTGAACAGGGTCACGATCAAGAACAAGTACCCCCACCCCAAGATCGATGACATTTTTGATCAGTTGTAGGGTGCCCAGGTCTTCTCCAAAATAGATCTGCGTTCAAGTTACCATTAGGTAGAGATCAAGCAGAAGACATTCCCAAAACAGCTTTTCGAACCAGGTTTGAGTTCTTAGTCATGTCATTTAGACTAACCAATGCACCAGCCATCTTCATGGATTTGATGAATAGGGTTTTCAGATAATTTCTGGATCAGTTCATTATTGTATTTATCGATGATATCCTGATTTATTCAAAAAGTAGAGAGGAACACACTCATCATCTGACTCAGGTTTTGCAGGTTCTCAGGAAAAAGAAGTTGTATGCAAAGTTGAGTAAGTGTGGATTATGGCTCGAGTAGACTACCTTCTTAGGGCATATCATATCAAGGGATGGAGTGTCAGTGAATCCCAAAAAAGTTGAAGTAGTGCTCAGTTGGGAAAAATTAACATCGGTCAAGGAGATTCGTAACTTTCTAGGAATAGCAGGTTATTACCGCAGGTTCGTGGAAGGATGTTCTAGCCTACCCACTCCTTTTACTCGGCTCACAAAGAACAACGTCAAGTTTAAGTGGAACGAGAACTGTGAAAAGAATTTTTCAGAATTAAAGAAGTGGTTGACTACTAGATCTGTGTTGGACTTGCCGAGCGGGACAGAGGGATATACAGTTTATAGTGATGCCTCTTAACTGGGGTTGGGTTGTGTTCTGATGCAGCATTGGAAGGTTATAGTCTATGGATCTAGACAGTTGAAGAGTCATGATAAAAACTACCCCACCCATGACTTAGAACTTGCCGCGATTATCCACGCTTTGAAGACTTGGCGCCATTACTTGTATGGGGGGAGACTTTTCAGATCTATACCGACCATAAGAGCTTGAAACACATATTCACGCAAAAAGATCTCAATATGCGTTAGAGAAGATGGATAGAACTCCTCAAGGACTACGATTGCAACATCTTGTATCACCCGGGTAAGGGCAACATGGTAGCCGACGCACTCAACAGAAAAAATATAGTTATATTAGCTCACTTAATGGTTTCAGAATGTAGGGCAATAGGGGTCACACAATAGGTACGACTCCAGGATCTGAAGAGTGTTACATGCTTGACAAACCTGACTGTTCAACCTAAGTTGATCGAGAGAATAAAAGAAGCCAAATTCGCTGCTTCCATCATAGTAGCCCTCAAGAAAAATGCAGAACAGAGAGTAAATTCAAAATTTCAAGTTTCTGCCGATGGGTTGCTTAGATTTCAAGACAAGATGTGTGTTCTACGTGACAGTGAAAAATGACATCATGACCGAGACCCATAGTTCAAAGTTTATCATGCATCCTAGAAGCACTAAAATGTATTAAAGTATGTGACCCCGATTTTGATAGAACGGGATGAAAAGAGATGTGACTGACTTTGTTTTCAAGTATTTGGTATGTCAGCAAGTCAAGACAGAACATCAACGCCCAGGTAGGCTACTTCAGGTATTACCAATTCCGGAGTAAAAGTGGGAACATATCACAATGGATTTCGTGACAGGATTGCCTAGGGCACGCTCGGGGCATGATGCCATTTGGGTATTATTGACCGGCTCACCAAGTCTTCCCACTTCTTGGCCATCAAAATGACTGACCCTTTGGACAAGCTAACAAAAATGTATATCCGGGAGATAATCAGGTTACATATAGTGCTAGTGACAGTAGTGTCCGACAGGGACCCCAGGTTCACTTCTCGGTTCTGGTCTAGTTTTTAGCAAGGTATGGGAACGAAACTGTCTCTTAGTACTGCATTCCATCATCGGACGGATGGACAATCAGAAAGAACGATCCGTACACTAGAGGATATACTCTGAGCTTGTGTTCTTGACTTCGAGAGCCATTGGGATGATCATTTACCCCTACTAGAGTTCGCCTACAACAACAGCTACTAAGCAAGTATCGGTATAGCTCCGTACAAGGTGTTGTATGGCTGTATATGCAGATCGCCAATATGTTAGGAAGAGGTGCGTGATAGAAGATTGTTCCGTCCAAATCTTATGGAGAAAACTACAACGAAAATAGTTAAGATCAGGAAGAACATCCAGACGGCTCAGAGCAGACAGAAGAGTTATGCGGATACCTGGATGAGGGATTTGAAATTTGAGAAAGGTGATCGAGTGTTCCTTAAGGTTACTCATTTCAAGAGAATTAGTAGGTTTGGCAAGAGAAAAAAACTAAATTATCGGTTTATTGGATCATTTGAAATTTTAGATAAAATTGGCACCCCTACTTACAGACTGACACTGCCTCCATAATTATTTAGGCTCCATAATATATTTCATGTGTCCATGCTATGAATGTACAACCCGGCAGCCCTCTCACGTCTTGGCCCACAAGCCCTTTTCACTGCACGGTCGGTATTGTGGATCGAAAGAGCAGAGTATTTTGCAATCAAAAAATTTTCTTCGTTAAGGTTTTATGGCAGAATCACACACAGGGAGATGCCATATGGGAGTTAAGTTTCAGGCCGTTACAGAACACATCATAAAAACTAGTACGATGTTGAAGTAAAAGAATTTTTTTTTTCCAAAGAAAATTGATAATACACTTAATAATTAAAGCAAATATGTGAGTACAATTTTAATTTAAAAAAAGAGCTATTTTTAATACAATATAATATATAATATATTTTTATAAAATAAGAATTATAAAAAAAACATTAAGAATAATTTTATTCTATTAAAATAAAAAAATAAATTATTTTTTTAGCTATATTTTTTGTTTTGTTGTTAAGATATTTTTGTTACAATAAACACACTTAAAACCCATGTTTATATCTCAATTGAAATGATTAGTCCTGATTAATACAGAAATAAACAAAAAGGAAAAAAGTAATTAGTTTGAATTAAAAAATTAATCCCTTTCATTTATTTAGTAATCTCTATCCACTGGAATTCACCTGTCACTTCTATCTATTCATTCATCCAGAAAGCTAATCATCTTTATTGGGTTTAAACTTGCTTTGCCCTTTTTCCTTCCCTGTTTTCACTATTTAAATATAATTATAATTAATTTTTTAATAATTATAATTAAATTAATTAATTAATTTTCTAATATTTTTTACTTTCCTAAAAGAGAATAATTTATTGGCTTACTTACCGTTTGGTTTCCGTATTTATAAAATCTTAACAAATCAATTTTCTTTTTTTTATTATATATTTTCTAAAAAACTCTATAAAACAAAACAGAACACTTCGGAACATATCACTTGGCTCAAAACCCTCTGAAACAAAACGGAGAAACCTCACTCCTCTGATTCTCTCTCTCTCTCTCGTGACAATTAACCAGTATCTCCACTGCCATGGCTTCTTTTTCTCCGAATCTAACGTTAAAACTCTTATGTTGTTAAGGAGAGACCAATATTAGGATATGGGAAAAGCGTCGAAATGGTTCCGGAATCTCTTGGGATTCAAGAAACCCAACCCGAAATCGCCTTCTTCCCCGACTGCCATCCGCTCCGCCTCTAAACATCACCAGAAGCGACGATGGAGCTTCGTCAAATCCATCCGCGAGAATGACGCGACGGCATCCTCAACGGAACGCGCTCATTTTTCGTCGTATGCACACGGACAGAAGAAGGGAGAGGAGGGTTACGAGGTGGAGGATCCGGACGAGCACGCAATCGCGGTGGCGGCGGCCACCGCCCCCAGGTAGCAGAGGCTGCGGTCGCGGCTGCTGAAGCCGCCGCCGTTGTTGTCCGGCTAACCAACTCTAGTGGCAGATGTGCAGGAAATCGCACAACTCAGTTTAGCTGCGGTAAGAACGAGAAGAAGAATTACTGTGTAGCTCGTGACGAGGAAGAATTGGCCGCTGTTAAGATACAGTCTGCTTTTCGTGGATATCTGGTATCTTGTCTCTATAAATATTATATTATTTGTGTCTGTATATACATATATATATATATTTATATTTATCGTTTTGTTTATTGGGTTGTTAGTTGGTTTGATCTATTTTCTTGTCATTATTGTGGGATTTTCTTTTTGCTTTCTCACCGGCTCTTTTTGTTCGTTTGTCTCTCTTTCACCCCATCTTCATTTTCCCCTGGTTTTTTCTCCTCCGTGCACTTGAGGCGGCTTAAGCCAGCGACACGTGTCCCATCGTCCACCCGTTCTTCTTTCACACTTGTGAACAGTCTTCGTTCCTTAAAAAAAAATAATAATTGAAACGTTTTTCATGTCCCGTTTTTTAAATTAATTTGGGTTTTCTCTTTCAATCGAACGTTTCAGCTTGCTGAGAATGTACCAGAGAAGACTCGTTTTTAAGACACACGCGAAGAGAAGTGCAAATTATGAACTTAAAGTTTACTGGGTAATCCATTCTGGGTTTGTCTCTGTCTCGACGTGTATGCAAACGACGTCGCTTTCTTTCTTTCCCTTTCGATCTTCGTTTTTTTCTTTTTGTCGTTTTCCCCCAAGGTCCGATGCTTCTAAAATCTCATGCACATGCATCTATGTCGTTTAGGGTGCACAATGCGCACCGTTTCCTCCAAGGGGAAAACAAAAATGCCGTGTGGACCTCAAACATTATACCTTGCTTACTGTTCACTTGCATAGTTGTTGTTATGCCATTTTCAGCATTTAATACTGAGAATTTAGTTTTTGTACTTGCTGCTGATAAATCTTTATTGATGTTCTGTTTATCAGTTAGTTGGGTAATTTCTGGAGAGATTTGGGTTTTAATAAAACCCAATTCTGTCTCAATTGACCCACCTAGTTAATTAGAGTCAGAATCATTGTTCGACATTTTCAAAGTCCAAGTCTACGTTTTTGGTCATCTGGGTACTCAGTGTTTTAATTTGTACGTCTAGCAGGAAAACGTGTATGCGACTTTTGAGAGGTAAAGTTTGGTTAGTTGGCAACTTTTAATAGACAAGAGTCTTCATGCACAGGATTATATTTACCTTTCTTCTCATATAGGACGGCTAGTGAGATGTCCTTATCTCTTTTGATTGTCAATGTCAGATGTTTAATTAGCTTGACGGGTAAGGACTTATGAATTCAAGACGCCCTCTTTTCTTTAAAATTTCGTGCTACTTTGACTTTTCCTTTACTTTTTCCTCCTTGGCGCCACAATTTCAAATCGCATTGCCCTTCATATTTTAACTTCTGCTGAAAATGATCCAGTGTGGTCCTCTTTCTTTTTATCTTGAAAGTTCAAATCCTGATATGATCACCTCGTTGCCTTTTGTCTGATATTCATAAAATTGGTTTAATTAGGACTTGACAGTTTAATTATAAGAGTTAATATTACCTCCCTTGCTTGTTTAATCTATTATCTAAGTTTGGTACTGAATTGGTTCGTGTGTTTTTAAGGCGAGAAGGGCATTGCGTGCCTTGAAAGGATTGGTTAGGCTTCAGGCACTTGTTAGGGGTCACATTGAGAGGAAGAAAACTGCAGAATGGTTGCGGCGAATGCAAGCTTTGTTGCGAGCACAGGCACGTGCACGTGCAGGACGTGCCTTAGTTTCTGAATCAACCAGCAAATCTTCCCATTTCCACCATCCTGTAAGCATCTATTGGTTTTGGCTACAACTCAACTTTCATAAGCTTCTCGGTCTTCTTGTCCCTTTTCCTATATAGCTCTAACTATGTATAATTCTAATGAGATCAATTCGGCAAAGATTATATAGACTAGTTATAAAGCATTAGTGAGCTACCTCATAAATTAAATCGTAACTTTTAAATATGTTGATTGCTTTGTTATTATACAGAAAAAATTTATTGCGGTATCACCCTGCTGATCCTTTTGTTGTATTTGCTTTGACATAGGATAGGCTCCAATAATCCTTCTGCAGTATCTGAAATTTGAATTTGTGTCTTCTAAATTCTGGGAGCATTTTTTACCATTGTCACCTCATGGATGCAGGGTCCACCCACACCTGAAAAATTTGAACAAGCGGTCCGGTCCAAGAGTAGAAAACATGAACAACAACCAATGCTTAAGGTAATATTGTCTTTGTTTTCTGTACTTCATTCCTTTTGTTTCAGTCTAGATGTTATCCATGGCCATGCTTAATTCTTCCTCTGCCTCCAATGCAGAGAAATGTCTCAAATTCAAATGATAGAGTGGGTAATAATACTGACAAAGCACATATTGGCGGGAATTCATCCGAGCATTGGATAGAGGAACGTCCATGGGATCACCGAGTACCATCAGCTAGAATTGGTGCCATGGATAATGAAAAGAATGACAAGATCCTTGAAATCGACACTGGAAGACAGCATTACCTACCCAAACGTAGGAACCTTTTTCATTCTTCTCATCTTATAGTGTCATTGGACCAATATAGTAACAGCTTCGCCACTTCAAAGGAGTCGACAGTGCACCAAAGAGTGCGTAGCCCATCATCCGGTGAGGTCCAATCTTTAAGTCCATTAAAGTTCTCTCATGAAGGGGAGGAAAGTGCTTTCGGCACCGCTGATAACAGTCCACAATTCTATTCTGCATCATCCCGGGGCGGAGTATCTAAAAGAAGCCCTTTTACCCCGACAAAGAGTGATGGTGCAAATAGCTACCTAAGTGGGTACTCAGACCATCCAAACTACATGACTTACACAGAATCTTCAAAGGCTAAGGCAAGGTCTCTTAGTGCTCCAAAGCAAAGACCCCAGTACGAGAGATCGAGCTCAGCGAGAAGGTATTCCCTTTATGGGTCTGGTGATTCAAAATCCAAGGTTTCAAAATTGCATGCCAACTTCGCAAATAAAGCTTATCCAGGATCAGGCCGCCTAGACAGGCTAGGCATGCCTGTTGGATTTAGATACTAAACTTGGAGATATTGAAGGCTTTTTGGTATAACCTTGTGTAGCATTTGGCTAACTATTTGCTTAGAACCCTTGGGATATTGTTCTCCAAGATGCTCTCTGTTGGTTCTTTAGGTTTTAAATTTAAGTATGATTGGAAAGCTATGTAACTTTCTAAGCATTTTACACTTCGCTTGGTTTAGAAATACTCTAACCTTCAACATGACACTGCTAGTTAGACATATTTGTATGTGGGTATAAGTTAACAAGTAAAAGCTAAGTATCTGATTCTGGTCTAACTAGAAACTATAAGTGTTGCTTACTAAATTCTGGTTCATCTATTCACTTTCACGAAGAGTTAGGTTTCGTCTCTGAGGTCGGTTAGTGTTTCTTGGACATGTTGGGAATTTGAAAAAAAAGGTTTGAGGATGTGTCTGGTCTGATCTGCATTGTAAAATTAAATGTTTGATAATTAAAAGCTGACCCACTTAGATACACTAAATCGCAAGAAGAAACAGACCGAGTAATTAGAAGATTTGGAAAAAGATAATGTCGGTGGGAGACTCGTCAGGTCAAGCTTATACGGTGCCGTATAAATCCAAAAATTTAAGAGTACATGTTATACTGAAATGGAGACCCAGTCTCCTTTGCCGGTAGGGAGGTCGTAACTTATAATAGATTTGGTTTTCAGTGCCGTCAGCCATGCCCCACAATTTGCTTCTTTTAATTTTGTTTTTATCTTTTTGAATTTGTAGCACCGTTCCATATTTCTATTACCAATAATTCAACACCATTAATTACCAAATTAAAAGTTCAATATTGTTATTAATTATGTGTTATTCAATGATAATGAAATAATTTCAGTAGCTAAGTACACTAGAACAGAGTTGAGAGACGGTCTCCCAAGTGGGTGAGTTTTTTTTTTTTCTTTTTTTCTCCCAATAGGCTGTATTAAGGCTCGTAATTAAGGAGGTCTTATGTGTTAGAATTAAGTAAATATGATTGTACAGAATTAAGAAGGTTTTAGGAGTAGGATTAAGGAGATTTGATTGTACCGGATTAATAAGACCTTAGGGGATAGAATCAAGAAGATTTAATTGTAATAGCTTTCTTATACCCCTATGACTCTTGTGTGTGTGTGTGTGTATATATATATATATATATGAATTTATTTATATAATAAAGACATGATTTTTTTCTTTAAAATCGACATGGTATCAAAGCTAAGTTTAGCTTGTTGAACAAAAAAAATATAAAAAAGCAGCCATGATTGATGAAAGAGACGAGTTTTCAGGGTTGAGCAGAGATCAATGGGTGAAGTTACTTGTCATATTGAATACAAGTAGATGAAATTGAATGACTTTTTATAAGAAAAATTCAAATAAAATGGATTATCAATTCAGGAGCCTCACATCATATGCCAGGAGATGTGAACTTGTTGTCTAATGTTCGAGAGATTGTACAATGCCTTGTGGGATTGCTCAATAAAATAAATACAATAGCTTTAAAGAAAAGAAAATTATGCTTAGAAAATGACATTTATGTGAATCATATTCTGTTTGTTCCAAATATGAATTGTACTCTCATATTTGTTGTAAAATTATTGCAATTAAATTGCATTATTAATTTCACTGATAGATTGTATGTAATATTGGATCAAACTTTGAGGACTCTAATTGGAGCAGGTGAGCAGTGCGGTGGAGTCTATCATTTCATACCAATAGCACCAATGCGGGCAAATAAAGTAGTGGAATAAATGAGGAGGAAATGTGGCATCGTAGGTTAGGACATTCTTCTAAGTAGATATTGTTTTTTGTTCCTAAAGTTTAAGATAAAATTAGTAACAGTGGAAGTGAATATGAATTTTATGATATTTCTTATCGCATTAAACAAACTCAATAGATTTTTACTCGAAGTGATAATAAAGCTTATGATTGTTTTTCTTTGATTCATTATAAGCTTATGATTGTTTTTCTTTGATTCATTGTGATTTGTGTTGGAGTTTTTCTAGATGAAAAAAACTTTAATTTTCATTAACTCCACAAAATAAATAACTTAATGTGCCTTTAAATGGATTTACACATAAATTAATCTCCTAAAAATAAATTACTACTATTTCAAAATATAATTATGAATCAAATCTCCTAAAAGATAAATTTTATTTGAATTAAAATCAATAAATAAAATAAATTATAATTTATACATTAATCTTTAACACTCTCTCTTAATTTATAAATTACAAGCACTAAATTTGTTTTGTTGGAGCATCTCTTGCCAATGTGTTTTGTTTAATATTCATATTTTGAAGCATTTCTCTCAGATCGTTGATCACTTCTCACAAATCTTCAATAATTGAAGATTAATAAGAAGTATATTAATAATTGGAGATTGATGAGAAGTACATTAATAATTAAAAAATGATGAGAAGTGTGTCACCAACTAAAGATTGATGAGAAGTGCGACAACAATTGAAGATTGATTAAAAGCGTATCAATAATTGAAGATTGGTGAGAAGTGTATCAACAATCGAAAAGAAATGCTTCAAAATATGAATATTAAACAAGATATATTGGAAACAGTTGCTCCAACAAGACAAATTTGGTGCTTGTAATTTCTATATTAAAGAAGAGTGTTGAAAATTAATGTAGAAATTATAATTTGTTTTATTTATTAGTTTAAATATATATAGAGTTTATTTTTTTTAATTAAATTGGATCCATGTTTATCTTTTAATTAGAAAGAATTTATTTTATAAGAGATTCGATATTTTGAATGAATAGAATTTCAAAGATATTTTAACATTTTATTGGAAATTTTGAATTTAGCGCTACGAGTAAGTTGTTTTGAACCTATTATGGTATTTCATAATATTTAAAATTTGTTTTAATTTTATTAAATTATTAAATTATTTAGTCGCTTTTGAACTATTTACGAATTATAAAAATTTTCTAAAAATACATACTATATATAATTATTTATTTCAAGTATAAATTTTGGATCAAGTTTATATTTTGATGATGTTGAAATTTGATGTATTTGATAAGATTATCTATTTTGATGGGAATAAAAAATAACTTATTTTTTTGACAAAAATAAAGAGTAATTTATAAGTTTGTTTTAAAACTCAGTCTAGTTATATAATATGACTTTGCATAATGGGAGTAAACATTTAGCACATAATGTCAAAAATATATTTCTTTTAAATCATTAAGTATCTACTTTATAAGAGTTAAATATGGTTATAAGTTTTGTTACAAAAATATAATTTGACCTTAACTAAAGAATATGATGTCTTCTTTCTCATTTAATCTTTTACTAAAACTTAATATCATTATCCTAAATGTTTAATTGAAAAATGATTTCTGAATTATTTAATGTTTTATTTTCTTAAATATGTGTTAAATCTATTTTTAATGTTGTTGATAAAATTTGTTTGATTTGACTAGTTTAAGTTTCTAGGGATCACTGAGTTATAAACTTACCTAATTTCTTTCATTATAGATTTTGAAAAATATAATACACATGAAAACTTGAGACATGTGACTGACTTCAATTCTGACTTATAAAACAAAAATATATTAGTTGAATTTCTATTCGGATTAAGAAATTATTTTATTTAAAAAGTCAAAATTCTTTAATATTTGAGATAAAGTTTTCATTTAGAAAATTTATTGACTATTGAAACTTTAAGGTACATTTTGATCTAAGTTCTCAAACTCTATTTATTTATATAACTTTTTATAAATGTACAATATTGTAACGTGTCTAATTTTAATATTAATTAGTAGTAAAAGTCAATTGTAAAAGCCCAAAACTTAAGGGAAATGAATATATCGTAAAGATGGAAGCAATTAAGAGTTTATGGTGTATATTCCTTACACAATGAATTAGGATATCCAATAGGATTACGAAAATATTCCTTTAAGCAAGTTTCAATAACGGAATAAATAAATAAAGAAAAACACAACTAAAGATCCTATGAAATTAACCTCCATTGGGCAACTTTGATAGGATGCGGGAGGCAGCTTTATTCGCAACCTTCTTCTTGCTGTTCAGTAGTTGAATATTGGTCTTTCTGATCTGAAAATGGTTAAATAAGAGAATAAATTATACTTGCCCATTAAGAATATCACACTTAGTACCGATACGGAAAACTAAAAGTTGATAAAAATCATAAACAACCGATGGAGTCATTATCTCTTTTTAAATAAAATCATTTAACATAAAAATTATTATTCCCATACTCAAAACCGATCTATGAAGACAATAACCAGGATAACATTTTATTTCACATTTAAATGAGCAATAATAGTAACTTATATTCTTACCTGTTTACCAGTACCTCTTGGTATAATACTCGGGTCCAGAATTTGGTCCATGATAAATTTTCTTATTTATAAAATATATATAAATAATTAAAATATTATTTTAATTAATTTTATTGAATTTTTTGAGAAAAATAAGTTATTGACGAAATTGAAAGCAATTTTGAAAAAAAATGGGTGAAATTTTGAGGTACGTGACAAGTATTTTGATTCCCGTAGGAAAAAGTTAGGAAACTCGAGACCTGTTAGGAGGTGTAGTAGATAGCACAACGTTTCGAAATACCGATCCGGATAAGGATCCCTCACACTATTCTCAGTTACGGTAAATTGAGGATTAATAATCGATAATTATGTATTTTGTGAAAAATTAGAAAAATTTTAAAAATATTACAGATCATTAGTGGAGTCAGAACCGGTTAGTTCATATTTGTCATTATTTCTTGTTTATTTTTCTATACTGCCTAAATTGTTTACTATTATATTGTGCATGTTTAAATTGATAGTTTTTATACTCTCATAGATTATCTAGTTTATTTAGTTCCTCCTGCATTGTTTATTTGGTTATTTGGTTACTTGGTTGTTGGTTATGATAAACTATATTGCTTGCTTAAATGTCGCTTAAATTGATCAATGAATATGAAATGAGACATTTGTATACTTTAATGGTTGTTTGGATGATGAAAATCTAAATAAATGAAAGCTTACTGGGCATCTTGGGAAAGGATGGACGGACTCGATACATAGGGAACCTACTATGGACATTATCTTAGTCGGACGGGACTGAGAAGTCCCATACCGAAAGGGTTTTAGGAGATATGATTCACCTTCATATCGGATGGAGTATTGAGACGATGGTGTTTTTGGTGCCCATTACCGGACGGGATATAAGGACGATCGGGTTAATTGTCAAATCTTGATATTAAGTCCACGAGTAGAGGGATATCCCTATGGACTCCCAGGGGTCCCAGTAAGTA